CACACACACACACACACACACACACACACACACACACACACACACACACACACACACACACACACACACACACACACACACACACACACACACACACACACACACACACACACACACACACACACACTTTAGCCTACCCAATTCACCTGTACCACATGTGTTTGGACTGTGGGGGAAACCGGAGCACCCAGAGGAAACCCATGCGAAGGCAGGGAGAACATGCAAACTTCACACAGCAACGTCAACTGAGTCGAGGTTTGAACCAGCGACCCAGCGACCTACTTGCTGTGAGGCAACAGCACTACCTACTGCGCCACTGCCTTGCCAATAATAGTCAATAATAATAGTAATTATTATAATAATACTGTGTGTCAGTATAGATCTGAGAGTAAACTGTAGTTGTCCAGCTCTGCTCTTCAGCTTTTAATGAAGCGTGCAGATGAATAAAGCTCAGTCTGCCGCACTAATTCAGCGGGCTTCACCTCTTCAGCTGAAATATAGCGATCAATACCTGCGAGGTGCGAGTGAACGCTGCCGAACTGGACAAATTAATGTGCTGTATATCGATCCGAGGGGAATTAAATATTAATTAGGGGTGAATGGGCAGAGTCAATCCCCAAGACACACACAAATCACATTCATTTATCCAGATCTGCCAAACACATGCTGCTGTTTCACATGAAGACGACCCCGAACAGCACAACAACAATACATATTAGAGGAGTCATTAGCAAACCACCATTATTACGGCATATAGTGACAATAGTTGTGTCTTTTACATAACTATACTGCTACTCATTAGGTATTCTTGAAACAACAAACTAAGGAATTGACAAAAAAAGACATGCACATATGTCCTGAAGTAACCCAGTAGACCCTGCACCATAATAAACTTCTGCTCAAACATTTTACAATAATGAAGTGAAGAAGACTGATTAACAATTAGCAAAATTACCTAAATAAACGAGTGAAAAGCTTATGACTATCTAGTTGTCAGGTTATTAAGTGATCTAGCTAGCTATATAGTGATATGGTGATCAGGCAATTAGATGATCTGGTTATCATGCGATCAAGCTATATGGTTATCTTTTTAGCGGGCATATCTGGTGGTCTGGTAATCTGATTATTGAGTGATCTGGTTGTCTGGTGGTCTGGTAATGTGGTGATCTGGTTGCCTGTTAATCTGGTTATTGAGTGATCAAGTTGTCAAGTGATCTGGTAATTTGGTTATCAAGAGATCTTATTGTCTGGTGGTCTGGTAATGTGGTGATCTGGTTACCCGTTAATCTGGTTATTGAGTGATCTGGTTATCAGGTGGACTGGTTATGTGGTAATGTGGTTATCTTGAAATCGAGTAATTTGGTTATCAGGTGATCTGGTTATCAAGAGATCTTGCTGTATGGTGGCCTGGTAATCTGGTTATCAAGTGATCTGGTTATCAGGTGGACTGGTTATATGGTGATTCGATTATCTGGTTATCAAGTGATCTGGTTATTGAGAGATCTTATTGTCTGGTGGCCTGGTAATCTGGTTATCAAGTGATCTGGTTATCAGGTGGACTGGTTATATGGTGATTCGATTATCTGGTTATCAAGTGATCTGGTTATCAGGTGGACTGGTTATATGGTGATTCGATTATCTGGTTATCAAGTGATCTGGTTATTGAGAGATCTTATTGTCTGGTGGCCTGATGATCTGGTTGTCAAGTGATCTGGTTATTAGGTGGACTGGTTATGTGGTGATTTGATTATCTGGTTATCGAGTGATCTTGTTATCAGGTAATTTGGTTATTGAAAGATCGTATTGTCTGGTGGCCTGGTGATCTGGTTATTAAATGATCTGGTTATCACGTGATCTGGTTATCTGGTAGACTGGTTATGTGGAGATTTGGTTATCTGGTTATCGAGTGATCTGGTTATCGGGTGATCTGGTTATTGAGAGATCTTTTTGTCTGGGGGCCTGATGATCTGGTTATCAAGTGATTTGGTTATCTGGTGGACTGGTTACTAGGTAATTTGGTTATCATGTTATTTTATTATATGGTGATCTTGGTATATGGCAATCTTGTAATCAGGTGATCTGGTTATTATGTGATCTGCTTATATGGTGATTTGGTTGTAGGGTGATCTGGTTATAACATGATGTTTATATGGTGATCTGGTTATATGGCGGTCTGTTTATCAGTTGATCTGGTAATATGGTGATCTGGTAATCAAGTGATCTGGTTATCAGGTGATCTGTTTATATGGTGGATGCGGATACGGTTATCTGGTTATGTGATCTGATTATTTGGTGATCTGATCATCAACTAGTGTCATTACATGGTTATCTGATCATCTATTTATCTGGAGATAAGTTGGTCTGATTATGCGGTGATCATGTGGTCACCTGTGGTCGTGGGTGTCCGGTGACGAGGCAGCTGAGCTCCAGTGTTTCTCCTTCTCGTATGGTGTAAACTCTCTCGGAGAAACGCTCTTCCTCCACATTACACGCGTGACCCGAATGAGCGATGCGGACAGTAGGAGGAGCTGTGCAGAGACAGAGAAACACACACGTCAGAATAACACACATCAGTACTGAAAATGCAGATAATCACACGTTAGCTTCATGCCAGTTTTGTAAACTGTAATATATGAATGATATATCAATACATAGGTCCACACGGATTGAGCATGAGAAGAAAACTGCAGATTTCCAAGCCAATTATTTAGTCTATTCATTTGCTTATGTAAACCAAGCGGCAACCTCCCGCTCTCCCTCAGGAAGCCAATACAGAAGTAACTGAAACTGCAATTCATTCGAAATTCCGCTAGTCCTGCCGCTCCTGCTCCAAAATAGAGCAAATTTCAATTGAGCCCACTGTTAGAATGGCCAACTTTACAGCAGAAAAAAAGGTGTTTACAGCCTGCTACAAAAAAAGATTTGGGTTAATACAGCTAATATTACCCTTCCTGACAACTGTGAGGAGGTGAATTTATTTATAACTCATTCGTTTCCTTTATATTCAGTTTGCATAATTAAGGGCGTGGCCACTTGAGTGACAGCTAGGTCTCGTTGGTCGCCGTCACGTCACCTCAGCTGAATCCTGCAGATTAGCCACTGAACTCGGCATATTTATCGTATTTCTGTGTTGTTTTATGTGGCTTTACACAGTCAGTTGCCTTTTGGACTTGTTTCCTACAATTATTAGATGGCATGGCATGCTGTGTGCACTTAATTGTGCTCACAAACCATTCACGTGGCCTCCGTTTCCCATGTGAGTAAAGTTATATACTTATATACCATCTCTATACATGTATTTGTTTTATTTAAGATCATTTATCGTTTATATTTATATTTAGAGCTGATGAATTGATTAGCTGTAGGCTGTAGATCAGTCATCTAAAGTGTTGTCATACAGTGTTATGCTGGATTTCATCAATAGTCTTACATTAACTAACACAGACTATATCTGAAGTGTTTGGAAGTAATTTGCGTTTTCCTCCTGTTGAGAAACGTCATAAGAACAATGTTTAGTGGCTCAGTGTATTACAGCAGTGTTTTTAAAAGTCTAAACACTTTATTGATATAGTGTACAGCCAAGCACAAGTGGTCAGAACACAAGCGAGTCGCAGGTGATGAAGTATTAAGCGTTCTCCCAAAGTAAAGTGTGTCTGAACCAGGTCTAAGCTAAATGCCAGCAGGTGTCTGTAGCTCCGCCCACTCTCCGCCTCTTTGCCCTTGTTTGGTATCCCGCCGTGGGTGTGATGACGCGAGAACAAAATGGCGACAGTTGGCCGCGCCTACTTGTGGCTTCTTTTGCGCTCTTTAGAAAACTATGGGTGACGTCACGGACACTACGTCCATATATTGTACAGTCCATGATGGAAACGTGTAAATATTAGTGCTGGCCAAAGATTAAATCACAATTAATTGCATCCAAAATGAAACATAACATATGTGTGTGTGTATTATATATCTATATTTATTATGTAAATGCAATCCACACACAAATATATATATATATATATATATACAGTATGTCACAAAAGTGAGTACACCCATCCTACTTCTGCAAATATTTATTTCTAACTTTTCACAGGACAACACTGCAGAAATGACACAATGAACAGTAGTCAGTGTATACTTTAACATGTACTGTGACATACTGAAGCAGTTCTCTCAGGAAACTGGACTGCAGAGCAGCGTTCCAGTATGATAAAGACCCCAAACACACCTCCAGGATGACCACTGGCTTGCTAAAGAGGCTGAGGGTAAAGGTGATGGACTGGCCAAGCATGTCTCCAGACATAAACCCCATAGAACACCTCTGGGGCATCCTTAAACTAAGGTGGAGGAGCAAATGTCAATGTCCACCACCTCCATGATGTTGTGATGGAGGAGTGGAAGAGAATTTCAGTGGCACCCTGTGAAGCTCTAATCAACTCCATGCTGGAAAATGATGATGGCCACACAAAATATTGACATTTCACATTTTCACTTAGGGGTGTACTCACTTTTGTTGCTCGGGGTTCAGCTATTATTGGCTGTATTTGTAGTTATTTTGAGAGGTATGATAAATAAACTATTTCTCAAATATATGCAATAGATGTGTATAGCGTACTGTGTGTGTTTGTGTACTCAGTGTGTGAGCGCATGTGTATGTGTTTATTCTATATGTGTGCGTGCATGTGTGTGTGTTACTGTCTGCTATACTGTAAATGTGATGGTGATTTTAGTGGCGCAGTGGGTAGCACGTTTGCCTCACAGCAAGAAGGTCGCTGGTTCGATCCTCGGTTCAGTTGGCATTTCTGTGTGGAGTTTGCATGTTCTCCCTGCGTTCGCGTGGGTTTCCTCCGGGTGCTCCGGTTTCCCCAACAGTCCAAACACATGCAGTACAGGTGAATTGGGTAGGCTAAATTGTCCATAGTGTATGAGTGTATGTGTGGATGTTTCCTAGAGATGGGTTGCGGCTGGAAGGGCATCCGCTGCGTATAAACTTGCTGGATACGTTGGCGGTTCATTCCGCTGTGGCGACCCCAAATTAATAAAGGGACTAAGCCGACAAGAAAATTAATGAATGAACACTTTAGATCAGGGGTCATCAAACTTGTTCCTGGAGGGCCGGTGTCCTGCAGATTTTAGCTCCAACCCTAATCAAACACACATGTACAAGCTAACAAAGGTCTTACTAGGTATACTTGAAACACCCAGGCAGGTGTGTTGAGGCAAGTTGGAGCTAAACCCTGCAGGGCACCGGACCTCCAGAACCGAGATTGGTGACCCCTGCTGTAGATAAAAACTGAACATCTACTGCACAACATATCATTTGCTGTATAAAGCTGTGGAGTCCATAACTACTCCTTTTAAACAATATTAACATTTAAAATCAATAATTATGGCAGTAAACACTGAAGCAGCAGGTCGGTTTGTTCTGTAAATGTGTCTCTGCTTTTACTGTACTTCTGCAGAATTCTCCAGGCGAGCGCGGCCAGTTTCTAAAAGCAGCAGGAGTGATGTTATAGGTTATATTGTACAGTAGAGTCGTGATGAGGAACACTGTGTGTGTGTTTAGTGTCCTGAAATGTCACTGCTGCCTCTCGGCCAACATGCATGAGCTCAAATGTCACACGGCGAAGCTCAGAAGAAGAACGCTTTCAAGAGCTGTCATTAAAACAGACGCAAAGAAAACTGTTTTTAGACAAGGAACAAATCAAATGTCACATTATTAACAACATTAAAAGATTTTAAATGAAAAAAGTAATTGGTAGAATAAAAAAAAACTAAATATAAATGTGTGATAAAATCAAAACATTTGAGTGATAGATCAGTGTCAGCAACAGCAGCAGGTGTTTTATTGACATTCAACCTAACACCAGCACCACAGACCTTCCGTAAGGTAAGGAATATTAGAGAAAATATGATGTTTGTATGAAATAAAAATTATTTTATGTGGATATACTCTCCACAGGGACTCTTGTCGCTGTTCATCTAAAACTCCACATCTATAATCCTCTGAGTCTATGCTGACATTATCTTCAGCAGCTCAAACACTCTAATGGCTAATGGACAGACGGCTGCTTCTCACTCAGGGCTGCTGTTTATGCTAATGAGGGAGAGATGGGCATCAGTGGGCGGGGCTTCCCCCTCTGATGACACGTACAAAGAGAGAAGCTGAGCACATAATTCTCTCTCTCTATATATTTATATATAAATTGTAAAAATAAGTGAAAATCACACACATACACAGACAAAAGCCCACCGACTTTGATTATATTTGGGGACCTTTTCCTGACACATTACCTCTGTTATACTTTATTGTTTGTTGTTGTTCTTACTTTCTCTTACTTTATGCTAGTGTTTTAATTTATTTCTTTACTATATATGTAAATGTCATTTACTTGTGCATCATTCTGGACATTATTGTTTTTATTTATTATTCATTTCATTTTCTTGTCAGCTTAGTCCCTTTATTAATCCGGAGTCGCCACAGCGGAAGGAACCACCAACTAATCCAGCATGTTTTACGCAGTGGATGCCCTTCCAGCCGCAATCCATCTCTGGGAAACATCCACACACACTCATTCACACTCATACACTACGGCCAATTTAGCAAACCCAATTCCCCCATATGTCCCACGAGAACACAGGGAGAACATGCAAACTCCACACAGAAACACAAACTGACCCAGCCGAGGCTTGAATCAGCGACCTTCTTGCTGTGAGGCGACAGAACTACCTACTGTTTTGACAAAATTTGTGACAATTATACCTTGTTTGGTTGGGGGGTGGCGGGGTGTTTTGTATTCATATTTTTTTTTCTTTTGTATTGTTATTATTATTATTAGGGGTCGAGCACAGAAGGTGCAGAGGATCCTATGGTTTTTGTTTCGTTATTATTCTTCTTCCGCCGTGGTTTGAATGGCAGCCCATATAACCATTCATTGGAAAGTTATGAAGTTAGGCACATGGGTAGAGGACTTTGGATTTATTAAAAACTGACCAAATTTGAACCCTGTAAACCATACTCTCTAGCGCCACCACTTGTCCAAAGTTGGAATTTTGAAATAGTTATAACTTTTGAACCGTAGGTGGCAAATTCAAAACTCTTTTTTCCCTTGATTCATTGGTTTGTGCCGATGCTAATTGGCAGCAAATTTAAAAAATCGTAAGGTTTAGTTTTTTTCTCAAAAATTTTGAAAACTGTTTGTAAAACCTACTTTTTCAAACTCGCCCTAGACGGTTGGGTCAGTTGTCACCAAAATTGAACCAGGTCGTCTTTAAACCATGCTGACAAAAAGTTATCAAAAGAAAGTTGATAAATGAAACGGTTGTGAAATTGTACGAAAAACGAATTGTTCGAAGGCGTCATAAAATTGAACATATCTCCACAACGCTTTGGGTTATTCTCACCAAACTTGCTGTGTGTAATGCTAACTATGGTCTGAGGCTGCCTGCACAGTTTTGGCGCAGCCCCACCTAGTGGTCAGAAAGGATTAAGATCCCGTTTTTTATTTGTATTTCTTTTTGCCGCCTAGTTTAGACTTTA